TACACACAGAGTCGAATGAAATTACGACTGTGAACGGTGAAGTGTGATAGATGTGCATTTACCTGGACAGTAAAGGTAAAGTTGTCACTGCACCACGCCTGAAGGCGTATGGGAGTTTGGAGGTACAGCTCCACACATTTTTTATCTGGGCACCAGACAGAGGAAAAGTCAAGCTTCAGTCTCCGGCCACCTCACTCCCGGTGTCAATTTGAGAGGAGGGCGGGTGAACCCAGAGGTGTCTGGACGAGGTGAAGAAGACGTAACCTCAAGCTGTGACCGGGATTCGAACGGTAGATCTCCCGAATACGAATCAGATCCTGATCAACTGACCCCAATACACTGGAAATGTCACCTGATATTTTTCATCTCATGCGCCCATCCACTGTTAATCTTGACAGCTCTGAGATTAATGTTTTTTTTATTTTTCCAGTGACACCAGTATCAGCGTATTCTTGACAGCTCTGAGATTAATGTTAATTTTTTTTTTTTCCAGTGACACCAGTATCAGCGTAACTGCGGAAGTGACGTCAAAGTACCACTTTGCCGCTCACATGGGCCAGCTGATCGCCGGTGTGGATGGGGCAGGGTGCCACAACTTCTACCCGACGTGCCCCTTCCCCGGGCTTCAAGTCCTCCACATGATGAAGAAAGTCAGAATACGATAGCAGCGTTGCCCTGGATACGGAAATTAAGACAAGTGTGACGTGTTCCCCACGAGTGCATATGATATCACAGACTACAGACGATCTGCCCAGATTCGATCGCTTAACCCTCTGATATGTAAGGATCTTCATGACAAGGATTACTTTACCAAATATGGCGATGAACGAAACGGTGTTAAAAGATTCACGAGACATGACTTCGCATCAAGAAACGTTATTTCCGTCCTTAAGCTGTTTATTCAGTTTTATGAACATGTTAAGGTACGTTCTTACTCATCAAAGGGTTGAATTCGGTTACCGTTTACATATATTAAATTATTTTCTATGCCTATGTACTCCAAAAATTAAAACTTTTCCTGTATTAAGTGTCGTAAAATTTTAATCAAAGGCGTTTGCAACGTCCCTATAAATTATATAACATAATTATTAATCAAAAACATCGCCTTATAATCCATATAATTAACTCGCTGATATAACTCGGTATGAACTGAACGTCCTTCCATCTTAATGCTCCCATATATAAGCTGGGAACAACATTTGCCCATTACAAACAAATGTATAGGTTACAAGAACAATTTCTCTGTGTTTGTCTATTGATGTCATTTCGAATTTCACTAGTCGTCATATTCTTTAAAATTCACCCCGCATGAACGTTACAGTCATCCTGTAAAACCAAATCTTGTAAGATTTCACAACAGCCCAGGTCTCTTCGACAGGACGCATAAAAATCAGGGAATTAACATAAAATTTGTACATAAAAGTTCGCAAGTGAAATCCTTAAAAGTAAATCGAAATCCGTCCGCGTGTCTAAGCATCACGCTATTAAGACCTTTACCTCGGCGAAAAGCTGGGGATGATTCATCAGCTTCATGACCTAGCCCGAGGAAGGGGCCACAGCGTACCTTCCTTTTGAGCACAGTGCGAGGTGTTCCCCAGTCACTACCATCTGAACGTAGGAGCTGAATATAAAAATCTCTTGTCTCTCTGGAATGTTACCAACGATGTCAGCCCGTAGCCAGTGAGAGGTCACTTCTCTGACATCTCTATCACACACGCAAATAAAAAACCCTATGTATAAATTATGGCCTCTTCACAACCGCTGTGTAAAACAAATGCGGCTATAAATAATTTTTAATACTCTTCAGAACCCTTCAAAGTCCTTATACCTTTCCTTAAAGGCCCTCCAACATGAAACAAAAACAGCGTTACCACGACAATAATTATAATAATTTATGCATGAGACACACGGTCATTAACATTCTCTTATTAACCCCTTTGAAACAGACATTTAACCAAAGAATAACTTATTTAAACATTCATTCCGTACTTTAAAGAAAACACAACGAACAACTGGCAAGTGCTCCGGAAGGAAATCACCACTGTTCTGAGAATTTACGACACAAATAAATACGCTGTGTGCGCAAAATGCAGATTCTACAAAGTCGCCACTGATCTTTAAAGGGTCAGAGAAAGCCTTGTCGTCATTTTTAACACTGTATATAACTGGCGCCGAACGAGAGGTCAACACTTGTACTTCGCATTTGGGAGGTACCGGATTCGAGTCTGGACCCGGAGCCAGCATATTCTGGCTCAGGTTTTATGCGGTTTTCCTCAGTCCTTCCAGACAAATGTCATTTTGACCTTCCAGTCCATTTATCATCCTATCATTTGACGTCGCAAGTCTGAGCTATTGACAAAGTCGTTCAATAAACAACAGACACACGCCTTACACGTTTTGCAGTGATGAATGATGATTTGGTGAGCGCGTAGATTCTGTGTCTCCTCGGGCAGAAAGTTTGGCCTGGAAAGCGATGTACCTGTGACATCGTCAACCACACAGTCACACACATTTGACGCTCTGTTTGTCGGCTTACCAGTGGATCGGGTTCAGTTTCATCCACGAACATCGTACCAGAGCCTCTAATCCTGCCTGCAGGTAAAGTCGTAGATTCACGGAAATGTTTAATTATTTTCTTGTTACGTCTTCCCCCGACCTTCCTGTCTTGGTCTTGGTCCAAACACTGCGATGTCGCCTTCTGGATTTAAATGCAATAAAACTAATTATTATTGTTACTGTGTTCTCCTGAAAATGTCTGTACCCGCATAACACGGGGTCCTTGAGCTCACAGTCCTTACGAGTGAAGTCAGTAGCCGTCCTTTCGTGATTTACTCGGGTCACCCAATAGCGCTCCATGTTAGTGCGCCCTCAGGATGTATGTCGAGGAGACGGCCACCAGATACAGAGAGTAGCTGGGAATGTACAGACTGTCCCATGAGTTCAACACTCCGTATTATAATGTGTACGCATCTTTTTGGGACGCCTGTATTTAACAAGCAGGATCAGAAAACAGACAAAAAAAGGGTGGAGATCTTCCAATTTGTGGGGGTTTGTGAGGACTACAACAACCCAAAACCGCATGAAAGGAAAACGAACAAAGGACCTCAGACTTGAACGGATTGTTAGGAGAGTAAAATGTAGTCCAAACACGGGCATGTCACTCGGATTGACATTTTTTTTTTTAGAAATAAATACAGAATTTTAACGGGGAAACCTGTTAGGTAATAACCCTGCTCTTCTCC